ACTCGGGTTTATTTTTGTCCGAATTAACCCGATCGGAAATGTCGGAAGGTGATTTTCAAGGCAAAGACCCCATATTTTAGCCCTTAGGTGAATTCCAAAATCGTACAATGCTAAAAGTTATCCTATTTGTGAACTTTAGGAAATGATTGACGTCCAAATTAAGCGAAAAATGGTTATAAAAGGAAATTATGCTTTCACAGATTTGGTTGCGTTTTATAAAAACTCAAGTATCCTCATTCTTGATCTTGTGTCTCTCGCGTGTTGTATCGTGCTGATCTTGATCAGCCGCTTCTCTCTGAACGGATGTCGTATTTATATAAAAACAAAAAAGAAAAAAAATTTAACCATATGAAATGGAATATTGAGTACTTTTTTCGTGTTACATATTTGTTATTCCAAATAAAAATCGTGCACGTATCGTACGATGATTTTTAGAATCTTCATCGTTACATATAATTGTTTTACAAATATTTCTTTGAAAAAAATAGATTTATATAATGTTTTAGGATTCTGTGCTGTGCAGACCTCGGGTGTCTAAAATGATCTTTTTAAATTTAGAAAAATTGGCCTGCCAAAATAACCATAATTTTTATAATGTTATTAATCGTAACCATGCTGTCGCGCAAAACTTATAAAAAGTTAATACGTATAATGGTCAAAATAAAATTTTATACCTGCATTCATTAACAAACTAGAACGCGAATTGTATTTAGCAAAAACATACGTGAAAAACAATGTATTATCTAGATTTTTTATAATATGTAATATTATATGCCTATGTTATTTTATTTACTTAACATGTTAACCATTCGATCACAATATTTCATGTTATTATTAATGCACATATAATAATGTACCTAGTAGTGTGAATTGGTAGCTACCGGTAGCTGTCTACCACTGGTAGCTTCGCACCCCTTGAATGTGTGCCAGGTTTGTGGCGCAGATGTCCTGAACTACGTACGTACGTACGTACGAACCAGATTTCAAGATCAAAAGTGTAACGTAACCCGATCAAGAAGATTCAAAACAAACGCCCATTTAATCAGAAATCGCCCATTTCTATAAAAACACCCCTTCCTAACCCTAACCCGAACCCTAACATAAACGAACTTCGAAGAATTTTTGCTGCGCCATAAACCTGGCACTCATATTCAAGCTTCCAGGAGTGACCGTTATTTGTTACACAACCCGCAGATCACTTCTGAGATTATCAGCCAATCAAAATTACAAATTTTAAGAGTAATATTGATATGAAATCGAACGAAACTTGAATTAAAATTTATATTTTAACTTCAAATAAAATCTTAGATACTATTAAAAGACAGATATATGTATCTTCAGATATTAAATTATCTAATTAACTATTAATTGTTGTTGCTTACTATGTATTACCTGTTGTTTACAAAAAATTGTTTATTTTGTTTCTATATTCGAACTATGTTTATTTCGTTTCTATATTCGAACTATGTTTATAGCTGTTTTCAAAATGGTTAAGAATAGCAAAATTTTTAAAAAATATTTTTTTTATATGAAAACCTAAAAACCTGAAAACCTAATTAGTTTAGAACAATGATCGATTCCTGATATACATAAAACTTAGATAATTGTTATCAATAAACAATCATATGATCAACTCCTGTTCAAATAAAGTATATTATGATATACTTGTATAACTATCAGATGATTATATTGAACAGAAGTTGGTCATATAAGTGTTTATTAATAACAATTATTTGAGTTTTATATAAATTAGAAATTGATCATTGTCAAAACACAAAAAAATGTTAACTTTTTCTGATGATCCTTTGGTCAACAACAAAACAAACCGAACTACAGAAAAATGATATAGAAAAGCAACAAAGTAGATATCTAAATATTCCTAGTACTATACAAATATACTTACTGTTGACGAAACTTTATATATGTGAAATACCAAGAAGCGAGCATATAAACAACAAGTGGGCTGTGCTTTTAGGTCAAGCTTTTAGTAGACTTTTTTAACAGTTGTACTTGGTATAACCTTGCGAGGTTGATGATTCAAAGCATTTTTTACCGCACTTCGTAGTAAAGAATGATTAATAATAACAATGTTCTACAATATAAAATAGCATTATAAATTAGAAAACATAAAAAATAATCATAAAATTAAAAAAATATATATATATATACTCTAAGGGTCAATAATAGGTCCACAATGTTGATGATTCCATTAGCATCACATGGTGTTAATGGTATTTCAGCCTCCTTTACGTGAAAGTACCGATTTAAATCATTTGAATCTTGTATGATAACATTCAAACTTATTTTAGACCCTAGGATTGGTAATAATTTATTTTTCATTATTGAAAAACTGGTAAAGTGAACAATCTTTAAAAAAAATACCATAAATCTGGGTTCCTGTAACAGTTTTGTAGAATCATCGTCTTTTTTCCGTGAAGTACACAATATTCGAGAACATTCAACAAAAAGAAGCTCAAATTTTTTGTTATTTGATATCAACGCGAGCATGATATCAGGTTTATCACCGATTTGTGCATCACTTTCCTGCTCATTTTTTCGGCTTTGGCTCGCTACACTTTGGTGTTCAGCGCTATAAAAAAGAACACATTATTATGTTATTTTAATAATACTACTAGAAAGCAGAAACGGTTGTAAATCCAAAGCAATGAATATCGATATGGCAATCACAACATTATAATCGTAATAGCCAAACAAAAAATTTTGCTAAGATCTCTATTATGCGCCCAATTACGTAGCTCCTCCACCACGCCCCAGACAATAATTATCATAATAACATACGTAGTGATATAGGTATGCCCTCCACACTGAAGACTATTCAATGAAGCTCGAATAAGGGGAAGTACAATGTCGGCGACATAGGTACCCTCATTTATTTTGTTGCGAAATTCGACTTCCGAATACATTGGATTATTCCAAGTTTCATCTCTATCATAAATAAGCAATTAAATCAATCTATACTGTATATTAAAAAATCAGAAAATTATTTACATTACGAAAATTATTTACATTACGGCCAATATATCATCGACAATTTTTTTTTGTTTCGGAATCCCATCTTTCCACGATGCATCATGAACGAGATTCAATCTGAAATTATCAACTTTATCATGCCGATTTTTGTATTCATGCGCAAATCTTACACATTTCGTAACAATTTCGGAAGGCAATTTGGGTTTCATGCGTTCCAAAGGTTCCTACAAGAACATTCTACAAAGTAAAAAAATAACTACTTTTCCATAAGTTTGTCAAAGATCTTGACATATATACCATAAATTGCTCTCGAGCTAGTCCTGTCAACGATTCTACATAAGGAGAACGATCATCAAGAACTTGACTGGCAATAGGATTCGTCCAATCAAGTTGGTCAGCTCTAATATCGTTTAATACATCAAGCAAAGCGTCACATAACTCGGTATCTTGGTCTGATGCTGGTGACTTATAAATACATCAGAAATTTATTAATATTAAATCAATATTATAGATTACTAAAATCGTCATTATTACTTACTCTAAGTTTTTTTTTTAACTCCTCAAGATTTTTCTCAATCATCGTTAAGTTACTACATTCAACTGTCGGTTGCTACATACATTTCATGTCAGATGAATTTCTTTTACAATAATAAATAATAATAGACAGGAATACATACCTCTGTTAGCGCACCAATCATAAACAAACTTTTAATGGAATCGTATCCAGAAGATAGCTATTACAGACATTTTGTTAGATCATAATGTACAAATTAATT